AAAAAAAAAACAAGAAAGTATAATTTTTCAAACGTTTCAAAAACCCTTGAAAATACGGAGGAAAAACTTGTCAGTTTTAAAATAACACACAGGTTAAAGTACAGAAATGAGAACATTTGTTGAAATAAACAAACGTAGATATAAAGAAGCAATTTATCAGTTTTCGATGATATATAAATTAATGTAGGATGAAAATATCTATTTAAAAGAAGATATAATTTTCGAAAACCTCCTCTATCCACTTCTCAAACAATTATATCCACCACGTTATTCAATGCTCAATCCCTTCGAAATCAGCATCCACATTTTTTTTACTTGCAATTGAACGCAAGGCAGAAAGGAGAATGTGGGCGGAGATATTCCGAGGTACGTCTGTATCATAACGCGGAGGCGAAACAACCATCGGTTTACGAGGGCAAGGAACGACCATATACGATCGGTCGGGTGTGTAGTGCTGTACGGTACGCGATAATTGCGAGATCGCGTGCAGATCGTGTGTCACGAGGCGAGCTTCCCTCGCCTAGGCTATCCTGAAACGTCGGCGTTTGTATCAGAACATCGCTAGGCCTAGTGTCAAAGATCGCCGATACGAACCTTCTGAATTCCTGCCGGCGATCGAATTAACATCCGCTGTCTGTTCTTCGATATCCTCGAGTGCTCGCTACTGCAACTCTCGATCGCGTGGTGTTGCAATTGCTTCACACTCCCCGTGGAGGAGAAACGACTTCTTCAAGCCAGGATAATATTGTTTCTTTTGCGATTGAAATTTCGATCAATTTAAAAGTCAAAAGTTACAATCATAATATTCTTATTCCTCCGAGAGTTTAAAAAGGTTTATTTTATTTAAAAAGAAAAGCAAGGAGTGCTCCAAACTTTTTGACCACGAGCGTAAATTGATTGCTCGAGGCCTTAAGAAATTACAGCTGTTCACTCGACGTGGCGAGTTCGATTGAAACTGAGAGAACGTGTACTTAGCGGCCTGGATGAAACTGAGCGAAACTTAATTAATCGAGGTTGACAGAGGATTATAGCAATTTGTCTGAATGGACACGCAATTCAGTGGGATTGGTAATCGCAATTTGCAGAGTACAGAGTCGTGCAGAAAGGCGTCGGAATCGTCGACAAGGTCGGTGACGGCTGAGGCGGACACGTCTTCGAGGAGAGCTTCGACGAAAGTGAAGAGGGAACCTGCCACGACGACCACGAACGCCACGACCACCACTGCGCCACCCACTCACCCCCAAGGACTCAGTCCCAGTGAAGACCTTCGAGACGAGCCTGGCGACTTTATCGAAACGAATTGCCACTGGAGGGACTGTGGCCTTGAATTTCCTACCCAGGTGAAAATTTGACAATTAAAATTTGAAAAAACAACAGCTCGTTTACATCTTACACATTTAGCAAATTAATTGATCTGTCAGTTTCGTAGGAAGATCAGTCTGAAGGCTAATTTAACATAACAAAGTCAGTTGAAATTAATATTTCATATTTTGAGTGATTTTTCCCACTCAACAGCTCATTTAAATCTCGCATATTTAATAACTTAATATTTAATAATAATTATTATTATTTAGTAATTAAAAATAAATATTTAGTAATTTAATTGATTTATCAATTTCGTAGGAAAATCAGTTTGAAGGTTAGTTTAATATAGAAGAATAAAGTTAATATTTCATACTTTGATTATTTACAGGATGATCTTGTTAAACATATCAACAACGACCACATACATGCGAACAAGAAGAGCTTCGTCTGTGGTTGGGAAGAGTGTTCGAGGGAGGAAAAACCGTTCAAAGCTCAGTACATGTTGGTGGTGCACATGAGAAGGCACACTGGCGAAAAGCCTCACAAGTGTACCGTGAGTACACTTGACAAATTATCGTCTAACTATTATAGTTAGATACACGTTATTGACGCTCTGATTTTTCTAATTACAGTTCGAGGGATGTTTCAAAGCGTACTCGCGCCTGGAGAACCTGAAGACGCATCTGAGGTCCCATACAGGAGAAAAGCCATACACTTGCGAGTATCCTGGCTGCAGCAAGGCCTTCAGCAACGCCAGCGATCGAGCGAAGCACCAAAACAGAACTCATTCCAACGAGGTAATCTCTAACTAGACTTAAAATCAATTTCTTGACTTGTCCTTTTAATATTTTATCCTTAATTTAAAACGCTGAACTTTAATTTGCAAATTGACACAAATTAAGCTTCAATCCAATGATTTTCAGAAACCCTACGTCTGCAAGGCACCAGGGTGTACGAAGAGGTACACCGATCCATCCTCCCTGAGGAAACACGTGAAAACTGTCCACGGCGCGGAATTCTACGCCAATAAGAAGCACAAAGGAGGCGGCGGTGACGGCGGAGGGAGCGACGAAGCTGGCGCTGGCGGCCACAGTCCTAGCAGAAGCGAAGATCTTCACCCGAAGACACCGAGTTTGTCGAGCCCGAGCGTGAAGTCCGAGAGCGAAGCGAACAGTCCACCTAGTATGATGCAGCAACAGGGTAGTCCGTTAGTCGGTGGTTGCAACGATGAAGTTGCTGGTGTCAGCGCGCTGACGGGTGATGGCGTAGCCTTGGCCGAGGAACCTTGGAACGAGGAACCCGACGACCTGGATATCGCCGATCTGCCGGTTGCTCTTCGTGCCATGGTGAGTGTTCTGATAATTAATTTATAGTCCTGAATACGAATGAAGGTTGAAGTGTATAAATCGTTTAACTGCCTGAAGTAAAATGTTCTTGAGAATACAGCAGTCTTGCCATTATGATAAAAAATGTATTAAATGTCGTTACACATTCATAACCTTTACATTCATAAACTTTCTTTCTACTATATGATTTCAATATTAATTCTATATACTTGTATGTTAATTTTAATATTTGTGTAACAAGTTAAAGAAAGATTTTTCAATATTAGCGTCAGTCTATAGTGAACGATTATAACAGAATTCTATTATAGAAAATATTAGAAATAATATGCAGAAGATTAGAATAAAAAATATTGAAATGTTAGGATAAAGTTCGCAGTGACAAGTGTAAATGTGACGATCGAGAAGTGATCAGTTTCTAATTATAACGCGACAGGTTGGCGGAATGGAGTCGCAGCAGCAGCAGCAACCTCCTCCCCCCGCTTCGAGGAACCGCCTGAAGGGTAGACTGAACGCAAAGGGCATGCCAAATCTGCCCGTAAGCGTGTCCGGTATGAGGGGGACACGTGGTATGGGTCCACAGGGTAACATCGGCGATCTGAACAGGAGGATCACTGACCTGAAGATGGAGGGTGGCGGTCCTGCCCGTCAAACGAGTCTTTCCGACTTGCAACTCAGGCTGCAACCTCTCAGCGAGCCACGAAGGGACAGCAACAGCACGGTCAGCACCTATTACGGTAGCATGAAGTCCACGGATTTTGGTAGCAGACGAAGCAGCCAAGCCAGCGGTGTCAGCGCTGTCAGAATGGGCCAGACCGGACCTGGCAGCTTCTACGATCCGATCAGTCCAGGAACGTCGAGGAGAAGCAGTCAAATGAGTACCACTTCCGGCAGAATGAACCCACCGAGTCACCTACAGGGACCTTACTCGACCAGCAATCTTGTCGTTCAGACGCAGAACATGTCTCTCCAGGTTGATGGATGAATTGAATGATTTCGTTCGTTTTAAAGAATTTAATCGCGTGAATAAAGTATCGTAATATTAGACGTGTCGAAAATTTTCAAATATTTTTACCACTATACGAAACAAATCCAGTTTCTTAAAGGAGAAAGATCTGAAAATTTTTTTATATTGATGTAAAACAAATATGTAGTTGAGAGTTGAATAGATGACAATCGAGGATGCTTGACAACAATTTGTAATATTATTTTGTTTTGTACGAAAATATCGAAGTTAACAATGCACGTGGAACATTTAATGTAACGAAACGATGAATTTAGGGTATCCAAGGTATGCCAGGAGATTGGAGCGGCCCAAGCGGCCATTGCACGCAACCATCCGGCGATCGTCGCATGTCGGAACCTACCAGGGGTCACCAAACCCAAAGGAATTCACCGCCTGTACCACCCAGGCCAAGATCTGCTCAGCTTCCGGAACATCATCCTAATCAAGAAGTCATTCTGGACGAGGTTGGAGAAGGTGAAATGGTAGAGAATAAATTGGTCATTCCCGATGAGATGATGCAGTACTTGAATCAGGTAATTAAATCGATCGTGGCACACGAGTGGCTCTCGAATAAACAAATAGATAAATGAATTAATTTATTAATTTCTCCTCTGTTTCTCCAGGTTCAAGCAGGAGGAACCCAAGTCAACTGTCGCAGCAGTCCCCTACCGATTTGCCAGTCGCCAATTTGCACAAATCCCCTGCATTATCAACGTCAAATGCAGCCTACTTGCAACTACAACCAATCTCACCAACAGACCTGCTATCCACCGTCGCAACCAACTCAACCATCCTGCACGAACTATCAAAATACCTCGCCGTCTCCTTACAACCAATGTCCTAGCTCCAGACCCCCGCAATCTAATTCACAATACTGTCCTCCACCTACTTATCCGTCTCAGCCAAACGGTGGACAGGTGCTCAGTCCGGCAGCGGGTCAAGTGATGTCACCAGGTTCTCACTATGCTCCCAGCCACATTAGCGATCAACCTCTAACATCACCAGCGGCTGGTGCCCTAGCGCCTCAACATCCTCCGCAGAATCTTCCTCAGAATTCAGCTCAACTGACCAGGAACTGCCCCCAAAATCACATGCATCACAGCTACTACCCAGGTTACAACTGTCAGATGAACGCGAACTGCCCGGGAACTCCAAGCAACCAAGTGAACCACCACGCGAGTCCCGCTTGTGCCCCACCGAATCACAGCTCTATGAACCAACCGCAGTGCGTGCAGATGCGTCCGACTGGAAACTGTCAGCCACTGTCTCCACATTGTGCCCAACAGCCAGCCATTCCCAGTCAGACGACCATGAGTCATCCTAATCCACAGTGTGGTCAAGTAGCCAGCCAGTGTGCCAGGCCAATGGTAACGCCAAACAGCCAACTGCCAAATATTCATCCCACTCAGCAAACTACCGTGCCTAACCAGTGTGCTCAGATGTCACCGCACTGTTCTCAACTGAATATAAACAATCAGGCTAAACCTATCACCAACCTGACCAGCCTCCAAGGTTGTCAGCAACAGACGCAGCAGCAAAACACTCCCTGCCTGCAGATGGCCAATTGCACTCATCCGAACGGTGGTCACAGATCAGTGAACGACTCGACTTTACCCAAGAGGACGTCACCTCAGTTGTGCACCGCTCAGCAGAACAACTGCAGGATGCAACAGCAGCAACATACTTGTACGCACAATTGTCAGGCCCGAAGCAATCTTCCAAACCACCAGCAGTACAGTTGCAACTGCCAGTGGGGTTACGGTGGAGATCAATGTTACCACGAGCAAACGGGCGCTGCTTTGCCGGAGATTCAGTGCAGAGACATCAGTCAGTCCCAGCAGGGATCGCCGATGAAGCCTCCTCAGGGTATGAGGCAAGACTCGTACAGAAGGACACTAGAGTACGTGCAACAGTGTAGAAACTGGTCTGGCAACGCTCAGACTCACGAAACAAACGTCTCTAGTTCCACTCACCCCATGTCACTGCCACAGCCTTTGCCATCCAGCGCCAACATGGTGGTGAACGACATGACCTCCTCGTTGAGCTCGTTGCTCGAGGAGAACAGATACTTACAGATGATTCAGTGAATACGCTTTCATGGCGGTATAAATATATATATAGAGAGATAAATATATATTTTCTATCGTAACTTTTTTTGATACTGATTCCGTTTGATAAGGGACATTCTCGGACGAAGAATTCATCGGACATTTTGTATTTTTAGAGATCAGAGATGATCTTTCTTTTTCTTATTCTTCGTGCATTTTGTACTTGTCGAGCGTCCAACGACGATTTACGTTGATGTACTCGAGTCTGACGATCGCTGAAATTAATGAAGTTCGTGAGCTCGGATAATGAACGACATCCTCGATGTTTAAGTAAACAATTGTAATCGAAACAAACATGTATTACGGTGAGAGTTCAAACTTTGTGCTTTCTACTGCATTGTTTCTAGAACTATATTAGCGATGCATTTTGTACAAAAATCGACGGAACACCTCGAGGTGCCTTAACAGAGGAGCTAAGCTAAATACAAACCACAAAGAGTAATTTATTATTTTTGGAGAATCGTATTCAAAATTCTCTCGAGCGAAATTTATATATATACATATATACATGTAGGGCTATCGAAGCATGTTACGCTTACGTGCGAGATGTTCCTCGGATCGAGCTTCTGTCTGTCGCGCAAAACATTTACTCGCAGAAATATCGATGCGTCAGAGACGGCGAGAGATATTTTTCCAGAGCATCCCTTGCACCTTGTATTTTTGTACGACCAGTTTTTTCAGTGTGTGCCAACGTACCGTCATCGTCACGTTTATTATTCCCTCGGATGTGTTTCACAAAAATGACGATTCTCCGCGATGCGACGATGCGACAATTCTACTAATGAGATTAATCAGTTATTCGAGACAAAATCGAAACTACAAACGGCCAATATTAGAACATAACGACGTGTAGATAGATCACGTTAACGTAAGAGGTTATTGATTAACAGTTAGGCAATCATATTTCGCGAAAGTGTGTTGACTATGCGTGCGCGTGAGAGCGAATGAATCGAGTGGTTGCGTTTTCGCGAGAATCATTGTAAAGAGAAGAGAAGCGTAAAAAAATAATTTGAGAAAATATTTCTAGATTACATATACATACGTGTCCGATTTTGATGTCGACCGAAACGATCTTAGAATCTCTCTAGTTTTTATAAAATGTATCAGTCCAGTGCCTTTTATCGTTGCGCCGCACGTTCGACGAGAGATCGAACGGATGCGTGGAAAAATTGACACTTAGCGTACCTAGAGCTATTTCTCTCTTTTTCTCTCTCTCTCTCCTTTTTCTTTTTTGTTATACGAACGATTTTGTACGAATTTTATTATATCTACGGAGTGCCAGGAGCCTTGTGAATATTATACATATCTTATCGTATACATATAGCGTAGTGACTCAAGTATGCGAACGGAGGAAACATCAGAAGTGTTTTACACTGTGAGAAAATTGTTAATTATTTGAAAATAAATCATATCGATCCCATCAACGAAACACCCTCGTTAGAATTGCTTTGACAAACTCTTTTCTTTTTTTGCTGTTTCTAATCAAAAGTATCTTGATTTGGTTCAGAATGGTTTACAATACATCATTACATCTTGTAAAAAGACGTATTTAAATTAATTGGAATTTTTTTTTATCTTTTATATATTGTTAATCTTTATTTATTCATCCCTGGGATAATAATTAACAAAATAATTTTTAAGTAGTCGGCAGTATTTCTATAATTTTCTTGACACTGCAAACAGCTGGTCAAACATAGAATTTTGTTCGAGTTGAAATTCTTGTTAATATTTAAATTTAATGATATTAAAGAGATAATAATTAACAAAGTAATTTTTAGGAAGCCTGTCGTATTTTTACGATCTTCCTGACACCGCAGAGAGTTATTTAAACAACTTTCAAGAAAGTCATTTAAATTTCGAGGATGATAAATGACTTACAGAAGAATTATAAAAAAAAGGAACAATACAAGAATATTACAATTCTCTACATGTTCTGTTTTAAAGAAATGGAAAGGAGGATTCACTTACAGAAGGGTGAAAAAATGATTCGGTCTTTTCGTAGAATTTTTATTCATACGGCGAAATTAATAGGTACAGTTCGTAGAAGGTACAAAAAAGGAACGAATTCGAAAGCGATCACATAGAGATTCTCTTGTTAGGAACAACGAGACGTTACTTACACCGACAGATTCACGGACAAATGTACACTGACAATAAAAGGTATTCAAGAATGAAAAAAAGAAAAGAAAGAAAGAAAAAAGAAGGAAGAACACTCGTTTAGTAGAGAAATACTACTCGTATATCGATGGCTTTGAATCACAGCCAGGTATGTTTCAAAGTCTTTCGTACATTTACAAGAAAACGTAGATTTAATTGTTTTAAGTGGAGACAAGACATTTAGTTCGCGACAAAAAAAAGAAAAAGAACGAAAGGATACGTTTATCGATTTATTCGGAATGAGTCACAAAGAGAGAGATCGGACTCATTCTAGAATTATATAATTTCTCGTGGGAGCGAGCGCCGACACGTTTCTCAAGTCGAAACACAGGCGCGTAAATTGCCCGTGTTTTTTTCACGTTTTCACGCACACGACGGAAATAAACGCGACGTAATCGATTAATTAAAGAATCGTAGACATCTCAGGACGCGTTATCGGGTGATGTTTGGTTGGAATCGCCGCTCGAGTCGAGTTTCTCGGTATTTTTGGCATCCTCGGTGGTCGATGATTCAGATACCTAAAGAATGACACGTCAACTTGAT